TTATAGCGGAGCATTTAGAAAGCAGTGACAGTATCAGACAGAGTCAGCATGGATTTATGAAGGGGAGATCATGCTTGACACATCTGTTGGAATTCTATGAAAATGTAACTAGTAGAGTTGACAAGGGGGAGCCAGTCTGTGTAGTATATTTGGACTTCCAGAAATGTTTTGACAAAGTCCCACATAAGAGATTAATGTACAAGACTAAAGCACATGGGACTGGGGGAAGTATATTAAGATGGATAGGAAACTGTTTGGCAGAGAGGAAACAAAGAATGGGAATTAATGGGTCCTTCTCAAATTGGCAGGCAGTAACTAGTGGGGTGCCACAGGGATCGGTGCTGGGACCCCAGCTATTTACAATACATATTAATGATTTAGATGAGAGAACAAAATGTAATGTCTCCAAGTTTGCAGGTGATACCAAGTTGGGTGGGAGGGTGAATTGTGACGAGGATGCAGAGATCCTTCAGCATGATCTCGACAGGTTGGGTGAGTGGGCACATCAATGGCAGATGCAGTATAATTTGGATAAATGTGGGGTTATTCACTTTGGAAGCAAAAGCAAGAAGGCAGATTACTACCTGAATGGCTATAAATTGGGAGAGGGGAGTGTGCAGTGGGACCTGGGTGTCCTTGTGCACCAGTCGCTGAAGGTAAGCATGCAGGTGCAGCAGGAGGTAAAGAAGGTAAGAGAAGGTAAATGGTATGTTGACCTTCATTGTGAGAGGTTTCGAGTACAGGAGCAGGGATGTATTGTTGCAGGTATACAGGGCCTTGGTGAGGCCACATCTAGAATATTGCGTACAGTTTTGGTCTCCTTTTCCAAGGAAGGATACTCTTGCACTCGAGGGAGTGCAGCGAAGGTTTACCAGGCTGATTCCAGGAATGGTGGGTCTGACATATGAGGAGAGATTGACTAGGTTAGGATTGTTTTCGCTGGAGTTCAGATGAATGAGGGGGGATCTCATAGAGACTTATAAAATTGAAACAGGATTGGACAGGGTAGATACAGGGAGGATGTTCCCGATGATGGGTGTGTCCAGAACCAGGGGTCACAGTATGAGGATTCAGGGTAGACCATTTAGGACGGAGATGAGGAGACATTTCTTCACCAGAAGAGTGGTGAGCCTGTGGAATTCATTACCACAGGAAGTAATTGATGCCAAAACATTGAATGTGATCAAGAGGCAACTGGATATAACACTTCGGGCGAATGGGATCAAAGGTTACAGGGAGAAAGCAGGATTAGGCTATTGAGTTGGATAATCAGCCATGATCGTGATGAATGGTGGAGCAGGCTCAAAGGGCCGAATGGCCTCCTCCTGCTCCTATCTGCTATGTTTTTATGTAAAGTGTTAATGACACTGATGTGATGTACAGCTTCCAAAGAAAAGTTTAAACATACCCGACAGGTACAAGCCTGTGGAATAAAAGGGGCAGGAACAGTTTGGGGCTGACATCGGTTCAGGGACAGGAGCAGAGGCAAAGTGTTGCTCGTCAGTCCCTGGAGGGTTCAATCACAGGATTCCAACCCCTCACCCCGACCCAGGGGTTGGGGTTAGGACCCCTACTTTTCTTCTTTACAAAGCTGATCGGTAGCAGCAATGATTTTGATCACAGTTACTCAGATGATATTCTTTTCCCCTTCGGGGGATAAAAATGGAAAGGCAGAATATGCAACTGTAGGAGATGTCATTCCTTATCTAGAAGTTAGAAAAAAAAAGCCAAACAAACTGATAGGTTTCTCTCGAGTGTATTTTTAATGACACACCTTAAAGGTGAAAATTGAACCATCATTCAGATTTAGTTTACACAAACAACATTAATTTGTGTGCACTGTTAGTTCTCTATACTGATGCATTTAGATTCAACACCCTGAGGGATAGCATATACAATTTCCACTAAGTTGAATGTCAGATTGAAAGAGTTTAAATGAAATGTTGTGATGTGTGTGAAGGCTTGATTTTCAGCTCTGTGGAAGTCACTTAAGTCTCTGCTAATAATCTTTCACTGAAACGTGACAAAGGTTCAAAACTCAATTGCCACTTGAGAGCTTGTTCATAAAAAGTCAATCTCAGAAAACTGTGCTAACAATCTTCAAACCTCAGGATAATCTGACTTTTACAGTCTTGTAAAAAAGAACAACATGAAACATCTCTCAGTCACTAATCTTGTTTTTATCCGGTGATCTCCCCCTACTCCCACTGCCTCCAAACTCAGTCCCCAACCTCACACAACCCGCTTCTACCTCCTTTCCAAAATCCACACACAGGACTGCCCAGGTAGACCCATTGTTAGTGCCTGCTCCTACCCACAGAACTCATGTCTTTCTACTGCTACTGTATTTTTTTTTCCCCTTGTCCAGTCCCTTCCCCCGTACATCCACGATTCATAGAATTTCATAGAATCCCTACAGTGTGGAAACAGGCCCTTCGGCCCAACAAGTCCACACTGACCCGCAGACACATCACCCAGACCCATTCCCCCTATAACCCTCTCTAACGCTTTACATCAGTTTAAGAATTTCCAGTTCTCCAGCTTACCATGGATGTGCAATCCCTTTACACCTCTATCGCCCATCAGGACAGTCTCAGGGCTGTCTGCTTCTTCCTGGAAAAAAGACCTGAGCCGACCCCATCCACTACCATGCCAAGCTCAGCCTCACCCTGAGCAACTCCTCTCATTTCTTCTGATCAAAGCTGTGGCCCCGGGCACCCGCATGGGCCCCAGGTATGGCTGTCTCTTTGTGAGGTGCATGGAACATTCCTTGTTCCAGTCCTATTCCAGCCCAACCCACGACACTTTCCCCAGAACATCCTCGATTCTGCTTCCCCCTCTCATTTGGAATTGCAAAAATTTAATCTATTTCTCTTCCAATTTTCACCACGCTCTAACGTTCACCTGGTCCATCTCTGACTCCTCCCTTCCCTTCTTTGACATGTCTGTTTCCATTTCTGGGGATAGGCTGGCCAACAGTATCCATTACAAACTCAATCCAATCTACAATATTCGCTGCTCACAATGTGTCCTCCTCTACATTAGGCAGATGAAATGCAGACTGGGAGATTGTTTTGGGGAACACCTACATTCTGGCCACAAAAACAACCAGAGCTTCCAGTTGGGAAAGCTTAACTGCTCTGGCAGCATTTGTGAAGAAAAAAAAACAGAGTTAAAGTTTTGAGTCCGGTGACCCTTCTTCACAGATGCTGTCAGACCTGCTGAGCTTTTCCAGCAACTTCTGTTTCTGTTCCCGATTTACAGCATCCACAGTTCTTTGTTTTTACTGTGCTTCCAGTTGCCTGCCACTTTAACACACCACCGTGTTCCGTGGCCAACACCTCTGTCTCAGGCTTGTTGCAGTGTTCCAGCAAAGCTCAGCACAAGCTCATTTTCCACATGGGGACCCTGCAGGACTCAATATCAAGTTCATTCATTTTAAGGCTGGAACATCTTCGCTCATGCTCTTACCCCAAACTCCACACACCAGGCCATCACATGGTTGCTACCACAGACAACCCATTCATTGTCCAGCTGCTAATGGTCTGCATTAGCATCTATTGATACAGCCAGGCTGACCTTTATCCACTTCTTTGTCTGCCCAACTGTTTTTCTCTCTCTCTCCCCCCGCAATCTCTGCATTTACTCCTCCCCACTGACCCCAATCCAGCTTCAGCATATATACCAACCTTTTCCCAGCTACAAACAGTTCTGTAGAAGGGTCACAAAGTTAATTCTGCTTCTCTCTCCACAGTTGCTGTCGGACCTCTTCAGTTTGTGTTTTTGTTGCTAGATATGAAGCATCTTCCTCAGTTGGAACTTTGTCTCTTTGAGACTTCTTCCACTTTCTTTTCTCATTTGATCTCTCCCTTTCTCTCACAGTTAATGGCTTTATCTTTCCCTCTGTCTGGGAAGATATTTTCACTAGAGTGAAATTAGGACGGTGATGGTCATCCACTTTGTTTTTGACACAGCACTCAAACCAATCTGTTCAGGGTATAGGGTTCTTGGATGCAGGAATTTACCAGAGTTTTGTTCTGCAGAGACACACCAGTATCTCTGGACAAAAACTTATGAAACCAAAAACACTTGAGAGACACCGCACCCTTTAAAAGAATCCAGTTAGGCTGGTCCTGGGAGTGTCAGGGGAGCATGTTAATTCAATGTGGCCAGGGCTCAAAGTCTAAGCACAAGTTAGTACCTGAAAATATACAGGGACGAAACATGGGATTGATGCTCTCAGCAACAGCTTGTAGTGGCCTATTTCTGTTCTTAAAATGATAGGGAAGGAGGAGTAAAAGGAAAAAAAGAATAGGGAAATTATAAACATTTTCAACTTTTCTTAAGATTGATCTAAACAAAATTGAGTGCCTGACACTGATAACAGCATTACATTTGGAAAGACATCTTTGTTTGTTTTCAGGTTTCCATACATTAACACATCTATCAAAGTATCCACTGGATACTCCGACATCGAGACAAATATAAAATAACGAGATATGGAATGTCACAATTAAGCAGTTGTTAATTCAGTCTTCGTACCACATTGATTCATGTCACCAGCATCTCCAGGGTTTTGCTTGTTCCCAGAATGGGACAAAATGGGTCGGCACGAGTCTGACAGTTGTCAGAATGTTTCTGTCTGGCAGCAAAATGTGCAGAGACAGAGATGGATACACACTGCACAGGGGGGGTTTGTGGAAAAAAAAAAGGATCATTTTGATAAATGCAGCGACACACATAAATAGGAAGGTTGCGCAGAAAACAAAGTATTTCTGTTCCATTTGACATACATGCTAGAATCCTGAATGCAATACTCACGAAATTAATGTGCTGTCTTCCAGCAAAGCCTCTGACATAATATTTTACCATAAAACACAATCACTAATCTCTCTGATTGGATCTATCAATTCTCAAAGTCTGTTCTTTTCAGTGACTGAGAGCAAAAACTTGGTTTGCTGAAAGCATGTAAAATATCAGACATTCAATTGTCCTTTTAATTGTTTTACATTTAGAAACTTTTATTTTGTGAAACATTATGTAAATTACAATAACCAATAGAAAATACAGTTCCTGCTGATACCAATCGCTCTAAGAAAAAGCTCAGTTTAGCAGATTAATTTAAAACATATTGAAGCAGAAACTGCAAGATATTTCCCAGAAATAAGATCTTTATGACGAACATTACAGATTATGCAGTTATATTTTAGAAATTATTATTGACAGGAACACCTGTTTCATTGCTTCCAATCAATAAAATTATTAATAAGTTATGAGTATCAAGAAATATATCTGTAATTTACAGATTCTAACTAGATTAACTATCTAATACAATCATTTGCTAACATTCCAATGGTTAATGCTTCTTTAAGACTAAAAGAAATGATGAATATAAATAAGTATCCAGTGTCATATATAACACAAACCACACCATCCATGTTACATTCTACAAAACCTGTTTACAGTCCAGACAATACCCTGACTAGTTATGTCCTTTTTTTTAAAATATATATTTATTAATGAGTTGTGCTGTCATTTCAGTGCAAAGACTGTAGTGCATGGTATAAACAACACAAAAATTACTCCATTCAATACCCTTATCCTCCCACCCCACCCCTTTGTGTAGATGTCCCACTCCCAGACCAATCAGAATAAATTATGCTGGCAGTCTCGGAGCCGTCTTGAATTGGAATTTACTCCCGTCCTGAGTGCTTCCCCCAATTTCTACCCCAAGTGGACAATTCCCAAATCAGTTACACTGCCAACACCTGAACAATGGTTCCATGTTTCCTCTGGAACAGTAGACAATGGAGCCTGACACTGAGGCAGCTCAGACCCAGCTGGCACTGCCATGCAGTGTGACGGCGAGAGTTTCACCAATTGATAGAAAACGTCACAGTTCCTCCTGACAATCCCAAAAATATCCTAACCCAGTTTGGTCAGCTGCAAATCACCAAAGATTTTTATCTTATCAATTCCTGACAAGTCAGAGACACGATGGTGAAAATCAAAGAGCTGGTGCCCATCGACAAATATACGGAATCGCTGGTATTCGCAGTGCATCTCCAGCTGTAAAACATGCCAACCAAACAAAGATACTGCCTTTGAGAAAATCTGCGATTATCAAAACAAACATCATTATTAAAATACGTTCCATTTCTACATTCAACTCATGTCTCCCTGCGAATAGGAAGGAAGTTGTTAAACTTGAAAGGATGCAGAAAAGATTTACCAGGAGGTTGCTGGGGTTAGAGGGTTTGAGCTACAGGGAGAGGCTGAATATAGGCTGGGGCTGTTCTCCCTGGAGTATCAGAGGCAGAGGGGTGACCTTATAGAGGTTTATAAAATCACGAGGGGCATGGTTAGGGTGAATAGTAAAGGTCTTTTTCCCAGGATAGGGGAGTCCAAAACTAGAGGGGACAGGTTTAAGGTGAGTGAGGAAAGATTTAAAAGGGACCCAACGGACAACTTTTTCACACAGAAGGTGGTGTGTGTATGTAATGAGCTGCCAGAGGAAGTGGTGGAGGCTGGTACAATTACAACATTTAAAAGGCATCTGGATGGGTATATGAATAGGAAGGGTTTAGAGGGATATTGGCCAAATGGGAGTAGATTAATTTAAGATATCTGGTCAGTATGATCAAGTTGAACCGAAGGGTCTGTTTCTGCACTGTACATCTAAGATTCTATTTACCCAGAATACTAAACAGATAAAATATTAGCCATAATTTCATGGGAACAAGATGCCGTTCAGCAAGACATCACTGATCTGTGCCCTAACTCCAGATACACTAACTTTTGCCCAACCCTCCTTAACACCTTCCAAAAACTGCTAGATCAGATTTCACATTCACAACTGGTCGAGCATCGACTCCCATTTGCAGAACATCCTACAAACTTCCACTACCCTTTGAAAACAGAAAGGTTTCATCATTTCACTCTTAAAACGCTCTGTCCCTGGGTTTAAGGCTACTTTAATTCGGTGCACCATCACAATACAAACGTAACCAATGTGAATTCCTTTAATCAGACCAGTGGATAGAAGTAATAACTAGTATGGTACAAAGCCATACAAACTAAGGTATATACCATATTTAACACCAAGTGTGATTTGCCCAATCCACCCATAGTCAGCGCCTAGTTCCTGTGTTGGAAGGTGCTGGGATGAGAATGCAGTGAGACAGTAACAATCCTTTCCACAGTTGAAGTGGTTTGTTAACACCGACTGTCTGGATTAACATGAATGAGCAGTAATGGGGGTTGGGGACTAGAGAGCTGTCAACAGAAGATAGCAGTGTCTTTCAGGAGTGGAGACACAGAAAGTAGAAAAAGACAAGGTATTCCTGTCAAAAAATTTAGTCACAAATTTAAAAAAAAATTAACATATTTCTCCCTCCGTAAATATGATGTGTCCTGTTTTCAGGTCTCAAAAGTCAAGTACCATATCCTGCTTTCTGAAATGGAAAATCATTCCCACTTTTAACAGTAATTTATAATTACATTAAACCAATGTATAATTCCAAACAAGTAACATGTTCCAATTTGCTCTGTTTCAAGGTCAGCCACTATCAAAAATAAACCACCTCTATTTCTGTGCAGTAACAGCCACCGCTCACAGCAGCGTATAAATTCACAGGAGCAAGGATGTTTGATCTATTACCCACAGTGCTCAGTGATCAGGTTTTGACAGGATCTGGGCCTTGTAGATACCTGAAGGAGAACTGTTGTTGTGTCAAGTTATTCTGATCCTGGTTATGTAGTCCATATATAACATGTTATACAGTAACTCAAGGGCAACTAGACACAGGCAATAATGCTGGCCTGCCAGCAACACCCACGTCCCGTAAGTGAGTGAAAAATAACACTTTGTTCTTACTACAAACAAAATCCAGTATTCGTAGAACTTGTGTCTCATGACTTTCCAAGTCTCAGCTGAACAATAACGAATAAAGTAACTTAAAAAAAAGCATTTTAGTACCAATAGTGAGATGGTTTAAATATTTTCACATGAGCTTATAACTTCCAAGCCATGTCACTGATGGTTAACAATCTACAGTCTTTCTTGCAAGTCGTGGAAATGTTTTACAGTTTCTATAATCTTACTTTACAAGGCTCCTCAAACATGGGATTTCATCCTTGCATGGTCAGGGGAGGGGCGATGTATCAGACACCCCCGGCTAATGTTCTAGGACAGGAGTCCCAATCTCATCAAGGCCAGTGGAGATACTTGAATTTCATACAAATGTAGAATTGAAAGCCGGTCTCATGGCAACCACGCAACTACCGATCATTGTAAAACCCCCTCTGGATATCTGCCATCCTTACCTGGGCATAGAGTCAGAGGTTTACAGCATGGAAACTCACCCATATTGCTCAGATTACACAATTAATCTAGCCCCATTCGCCTGCAATTGGTCCATACCCATCCATACCCTATCCCATCCATGTACCTGTCCAAATGTTTCTTAAATAAAAAAGTTGTACTTGTTTCCATCACTACTTCTGGCACCCTGTGTCAAAAAAAAACTGTCCCTCTGGACCCTTCTGTATCTCTCCCCTTAAACCTATGCATGGTCTGGCCTATGTGTCACTCCAGACCCTTGGCAATGTGGTTGAGTCTGAACTGCCCTTTGAAATGACTCAGCAAGGATATTCTGATCCAGAGCAATTAGGAATGGGCAATAAATACTGGCCTAATCAGTCATGCCAATATCTCATGAGTAAATTAAAAAATTATTACTATGTCCTCACATAATGGGCCCAATTGTAACTCTGCAAGTGCATGGGTTTTGGATGGGTTAAAAATGGCAACTAATGTACTTATTGCTTTGCATCCACTCCCAACTCTCCCCTACTCCAGTCTTTCACCACGTGAATCCAAGAGAATCATTACATAGAATAATGTGTTACATTGTTGTAATGGCCAACTTTTTTCATATCATTACTTACGGTGGAATGTGCAAATGCAGAGTCAGAGCAAGATTCCTTGGGTGAGGAATACTGTTGTTAATTTCCATTCAATTACTGTATGGAATCAGAATCAGCCATCATGCCTCCGATTCACTCCCCAGTTTCCACCAGCACCTTCCAGGCAATGGCACATCATCACATTCTTGTTTCTCAGGCCGTCTCTGGTTCTTTGCAATCATCTTATAAAGTGTTTCTGTGTTACACAGTGTAAATAGGGAGCCTGGATCTTCACTGATCTACTTCCAGACACTTGCACTGCAGACAGACGTAGTAAAGGTGACTGCGGAATTAATTTGAGAACGTCAGTTCACAGATTTCTCTGTGAATCTGTAGACGATGTGCTCTCATTATCTGGATCAGGGCAGAAGGCCCTGTGTAGGCCAGCGAAGTGCAAGCCGTAGACTTAGCTGTAAGCCAGCTGAAAATGGCAATGGAGGGACTTTTAGCTAAATTAACGAAGATGGCCAAAAATACATTCGTCTCCTTAATGATTGTGTCATAAGGATTAATTACATCTGGTGTTGTTTAGGTGTCTCAACATGACATTCAGAAGTTGATATAATTCACATTTAAGAGGCAAAAATGGTTACAATGAACTTAAATGCAACTAATAAAACAATATCATGCCAGTTAAATTCTGGAACGTTCTTTAGCCTTTAACCCTTAAATTCTGTTCAAAGAAGCTTCCTGTGAATTCACCTTTCAATTGGTGAATTTTTTTTGTATTTGCAGCTCCTGGTTTTGGTTTCCTTCACTAAGTCGGAATATCCTCTCTTTATCGAAGAAATCAAAACCTTAACATCATTTTGAAGGTCTTTCTCAATTTTGAAGACAGGGGATTTGGAGACCCCTCAATTTGCACAAGTCTAAAGAAAAGACCCACCTAATCACAGAAACAGACCCTTTGGTCCAACTCGACCATATATCCTAAATTAATCTAGTCCCATTTGCCAGCATTTGGCCCATATCCCTCTAAACCCTTCCTATTCATGTACCAATCCAGATGCCTTTTAAATATTGTAATTGTACCAGCCTCCACCACTTTGTGGGAACTCATTCCATACACGCACCACTCTCTGTGTGAAAATGTTGCCCCTTAGGTCCCTTTAAAGTTTTCCCCTCTCACCTTAAGCCTATGCCGTCTAGTTTTGGACTCTCCCAGCCTGGAAGAAAGATTTTGGCAATTCGTCCTAGCCATGCCTGTTATGATTTTATAAACTTCTATAAAGGTCACTCCTCAGCCTCCAACGCCCCAGGGAAAATAGCCCCAGCCTATTCAGCCTCTCCCTACAGCTCAAACCCTCTAACCCCGGCAACATCCTTGTAAATCTTTTCTGCATCCTTTCAAGTTTAACAACATCTTTCCTGTAGTAGGGAGACCAGAGTTGAATGCAGGTTTTCCAAAAGTGGCCTAACCAATGTCCTGTACAGTTGCAACATGACCTCCCAACCCCTACACTCAATGCACTGACCAATGAAGGCAAGCATACCAAACACCTTCTTCACTATCCTGCCAAGCTGTGACTCCACTTTCAAATAACTATGAACCTACACCCCAAGACCTCTGTTTGGCAACAATCCCCAGGACCTTACCATTAAGTGTACAAGTCCTTCCCCAGTTTGCCTTTCCAAAATGCAGCACCTCACATTGATCTACATTAAACTCCGTCTGCCACTCCTCGGCCCACCTGATTAAGGTCCTGTTGCACTCTGAAATAACCTTCTTCGTCGTTCACTACACCATCAATTTTGGTGTCTTCTGCAAACTTACTAACTATTCCTTCCGTATTCACATCCAAATGTTTAATTTTTGATGACAGTTGTAACTTCTCAATGCTGGTATCATCTGTGTCAATGTTTTGTTGTGCGTTGGGTCTCCTGCAGTGATATTATCCCCAGATTTACATAGGGAGGCCAGAGCTCCCATCTGCTACAAACACATACTCACCCTAAATGGCTGGTCTGGGATGAAGGGGAAATATGGAATCGAAGTCTCCTCCTCTCCCCATTCTCCAGAGACAAAAGCATTTCGGACAAACTGCTGATCGGAAAATCTTGCCTGGAGTTCGACGGCAACATCAGCTGGTGATACATCAGAGTCTCCACAGCACAGGCTGATCTCAAAGCTTCAACATGGGGGAAGAGGGGAAATGTCAGTGTCAGTCACTAAAATACTTTCCGAAGGTTGCAAAGGCTAAAACTGAGGAGACTGTCTGGATCAACAACATACTTTTACACAGCAGCCTTAACCTGGTAAATTATCCCAAGGCATTTCAAGAGAGCGATTATAAAACAAAGAGATCAGACAAAGCCATGCAGGAGACAGTAGATCATTTTAAAAGGAGGACAGAGAGAGAGAGATGCCCAGAGGGGTTTGTGAGGGAGTGAGTTCCAAAGCTCACGACCCAAGTAGCTGAAAGCATGGTCCCCAAAAGCAGAGTGAAATGGGAAAGGGATTGTTTGAAAAATCAAGGATTGCGGAAGGCATTGCTACGCTGTTAAAAAGTAACAAACTCATCGTAAGTGGTGTTTACGCTGCTGTTTTATTCAAGCTGTGCAGGAGGTTGTTTGTATACAGGCCAGCACCAGCAGGTGTGTATAAAGTGAGATTCAGCCAGCAACAGGTTGCTGATTGGTTTGTGGATGGCATAAGCTATCAGCCTGACAATGATCTGATTGGCTCCTGCGTAGCTGAACAGCTGGTGGGTATTAACAATACTAGCAGAAACCTCCAGCCAGCTGCAAGGGGAAGATGGTGTGTCTTTCTCACCGTAAAATGCCTGAAGGAAGCCAGTTCACTTTTCCTCACCAGTTGCTGTAAGCTGTGGCCTTTAACCAGTAACTAAGAGACATTGCAGTTACTGTACCAAAGTGTAGAGCTGGATGAACACAGCAGGTCAAGCAGCACCAGAGGAGCAGGAAGGCTGACGTTTCGGGCCTAGACCCAGAAGGGCCTTCCTGCTCCTCTGATGCTGCTTGGCCTGCTGTGTTCATCCAGCTCTACACCTTGTTATCTCAGATTCTCCAGCATCTGCAGTTCCTACTATCCCTGTTACTGTACCAATTGGCTGTACCTCCTGAAAAGTGAAAAGAATGCGGAGAGAGATTAAAGAACAGAAAATTCTGGCAGGCAGAAGGATTATCTCAGCGAACCCTGTGGACTGGGGCCAGTGAACTGTTTGTCAAGTTTTGTTTTCACCTGCACTCATGAGTGAGTGGGGGAGGGGGCGCGTGAAGGAAAGTAGTGCTTAGGAGGGGGTTAGAGTTTAACAAGCAGAGCTGTGTCAACATTTGTTACTTGTTCACCTGTAGTCAGAATTTATTTATAATAAATTGTAGATCTTGTTAAGTACAGAAATCTGGCCCATGTTTCCCCTTAACCTGGTAAATTGGGGACTTTACTAAGTAAATGTGGTGACTCTGGCAATAGTGGGGCTAGGTTTTCAGAATGCTACCCCAGAGAGGTGTAACAACATTAACAAAAACTTGTCTCTACAAAGTGCCTTTCACGTTAAAAACAAACATTCAAAGGAGCTTCACGAGTGCATTATAAAAATTAAAAAATATCTGAACCGCGAAGGCTTCATAAACTGTATAATTAAAACTGGGTCAGAGATAGTAGGAACTGCAGATGCTGGAGAATCTGAGATAACAAGGTGTAGAGCTGGATGAACAAGCAGGCCAAGCAGCATCAGAGGAGCAGGAAGGCTGACGTTTCGGGCCTAGACCCTTCATCAGAGATAGGAGAGGGGAAGAGGATTCTGAAATAAATAGGGAGAGAGGGGGAGGCGGATAGAAGATGGATAGAGGAGAAGATAGGTGGAGAGGAAACAGACAGATCAAAGAGGCGGGGATGGAGCCAGTAAAGGTGAGTGTAGGTGTGGAGGTAGGGAGGGGATAGGTCAGTCCAGGGAGGACGGACAGGTCAAGGGGGTGGGATGAGGTTAGTAGGTAGGAGATGGGGGTCGGGCTTGAGATGGGAGGAGGGGATAGGTGGGAGGGAGGACAGGTTAGGGAGGCAGGGACAAGCTGGGCTGGTTTTGGGATGCGGTAGGGGGAGGGGAGATTTTGAAGCTTGTGAAATCCACATTGATACCATTGGGCTGCAGGGTTCCCAAGCGGAATATGAATTGCTGTTCCTGCAACCTTCGGGTAGCATCGTTGTGGCACTGCAGGAGGCCCAAGATGGACATGTTGTCTGCGGAATGGGAGGGGGAGTTGAAATGGTTCCCAGGATGAGGCATTCCACTCCCGTACATCTCAGATGTCCTCATTTTTCAAGGACCGCAACTTCCCCCACTCAGTGGTTGAGAACGCCCTCGACCGTGTTTCCCGCATCTCATCCCTCACACCCCCTCCCCGCAATAACAACCAAAACAGAATCCCCCTCGTCCTCACGTACCACCCCACCAACCTCTGGATCCAACGCATCTTCCTCCGACACTTCCGCCATCTGCAATCCAACCCCACCCTTATCTGCTTTCCGGAGGGACCACTCTCTCCGAAACTCCCTTGTCCGCTCCACACTCCCCTGCAGCCCCACCTCACCCGGCACCTTTCCCTGCAACCGCAGGAAGTGCTACACCTGCCCCTACACCTCCCCCGTCACCCCCATCCCAGGCCCCAAGAAGACTTTCCACATCAAGCAGATGATCACCTGCACATCTGCTAATGTGGTATATTGCATCCGCTGTTCCCGTTATGGCCTCCTCTACATCGGGGAAACCAAGCGGAGGCTTGGGGACTGCTTTGCAGAACACCTACGCTCGGTTCGCAATAAACTACTGCACCTCCCAGTCGCGAACCATTTCAACTCCCCCTCCCATTCTGCAGATGACATGTCCATCCTGGGCCTCCTGCAGTGCCACAACGATGCTACCCGAAGGTTGCAGGAACAGCAACTCATATTCCGCTTGGGAACCCTGCAGCCCAATGGTACCAATGTGGACTTCACAAGCTTCAAAATCTCCCCTCCCCCTACCGCATCCCAAAACCAATGCAGCTCGTCCCCACCTCCCTAACCTGTCCTTCCTCCCACCTATCCCCTCCTCCCACCTCAAGCCCCACCCCCATCTCCTACCTACTAACTTCATCCCGCCCCCTTGACCTGTCCGTCCTCCCTGGACTGACCTGTCTCCTCCCTACCTCCCCAGCTACACTCACCTTTACTGGCTCCATCCCCGCCTCTTCGACCTGTTGGTTTCCTCTCCACCTATCTTCTCCTCTATCCATCTTCTATCCGCCTCCCCCTCTCTCCCTATTTATTTCAGAACCCCCTTCCCCTCCTCCATTTCTGAAGAAGGGTCTAGGCCCGAAACGTCAGCCTTCCTGCTCCTCTGATGCTGCTTGGCCTGCTGTGTTCATCCAGCTGTACACCTTGTTATCTCTAATTAAAACTGGGGATGGACAAGAGGCCAGATTGGAGTAAAGCAGAGGAGTGGAGAAGGTTGATGAGATTCCAGAGTTGGACACAAAGTCATGGACAGATTTGAAAACAACAGTGAGAATTTTACAATTACAAAGTGTAATATACAAGAATCTTTCAACACACAATATACAAAAAAAAGTTTAAATAGATACTGCAGTTACAAGTTAATACAGCCACAATCCAATCACAATATCTCTGACATAACTCTGTGTGGACAAATTGTAACCAGTTTCTGAACCACACTAACCAGACTGTTAAAGGTCAAATGGCAAAACTTGAATATCTCCCACCTACAATGCAGCTCCATGTTTTTGTCTACTGGCATGACACTGCATGAAGGGAATAATTTCTGGAGGCAATTCCTTTTCTAGCTGCATACTTGAAATATTTGTCAAAAAAACAAGATCAATCCTGAAATGTCTTAGAAACACACAAGTTAAAACAAACTAAAGATGCTGAGTTCTTGTGGAAAACAAAAGACTGGGGCTTATCATTGACCAGAAACTCAACAGGACTCACCACATAAACACAGTGGCTATGACAGCACATTGGAGGTTAGGAATACTCACCTCCTGACTCCATGACCTCACCCTGAGCACCAAACCATCATCTCCCAAACCATCCACAACCTCATCACCTCAGGTGACCTCCCACCCACGGACTCCAATCTCATCTTTCCCCAACCTCGCACTGCCCGCTTCTATCTCCTTCCCAAAATCCACAAACCTGAATGCCCTGGTCGACCCATTGTCTCCGCCTGCTCCTGCCCCTCCGAACTGATCTCCAACTATCTGGACTCCATTTTCTCCCCCTTGGTCCAGGAACTCCCTACCTATGTCCGTGACACCACCCATGCCCTCCACCTCCTCCAGAACTTCCAATTCCCCGATCCCCAACACCTCATCTTTACCATGGACGTCCAGTCCCTCTACACCTGCATTCCCCATGCAGATGGCCTAAAGGCCCTCCGCTTCTTCCTGTCCCGCAGGCCCGACCAGTCCCCCTCCACTGACACCCTCATCCGCTTAGCCGAACTCGTCCTCACACTCAACAACTTCTCTTTCAATTCCTCCCACTTCCTACAGACAAAGTGGGTGGCCATGGGTACCCGCATGGGCCCAAGCTACGCCTGCCTCTTCGTAGGTTACGTGGAACAATCCCTCTTCTGTACCTACACCGGCCCTAAACGCCACCTCTTCCTCCATTACATTGATGACTGTATCGGCGCCGCCTCGTGCTCCCATGAGGAGCTCGAACAGTTCATCCACTTCACTAACACCTTCCACCCCAACCTTAAGTTTACCTGGACCATCTCTAACACCTCTCTCCCCTTCCTGGACCTCTCTGTCTCTATATCGGGCAACCACCTAGAAACCGATATTCATTTCAAGCCCACCGACTCCCACAGCTACCTAGAATACTCCTCCTCCCACCCACCTTCCTGCAAAAATGCTATCCCCTATTCCCAATTCCTTCGCCTCTGCCGCATCTGCTCCCAGGATGAGGCATTCCACTCCCGTACATTTCAGTTGTCCTCGTTTTTCAAGGACCGTAACTTCCCCCCCTCAGTGGTCGAGAACGCCCTCAACCGTCTCTCGCACATCTCCCGCAACTCACCCCTCACACCCCGTCCACGCAATAAGAACCAAA